ATATATAAAACCTTACATATGTTTTTTTGTGGTGAGGTTAGAATCAATTTTCAGCAATGTTTTATCATACAATATATTATTAACTAAAGTCAGAGGTCTGTACAATACATCTCCATAACTTATTCTCCCTCTTAAGGGAAATTCTATGCCCTTTCACCAACCTCTGCCCATTTTTCCCTTTGCCACAAGGCACTGGTAACCAGTACTTTACTCTGCTTTGGAGATTTCATTTTATATCTCTACATAGAAGAGAGATCATGAGGCACTCATTTTTCTGTGTCTGGTTGATTTCAGTTAACAGAATGTTCTCAAACTGTTGATCGCTTTGATTATTTAATAAGTTCACAATTTTAACAACCACCCAGCTCATTTCATGACTTGTAAAAAGTCAAATCACTGTCAAGTGTGCTGAAACTATTATGATGATTTATTATTCCCACCACTTTTTAATTTCATGTTTAAATTTATCACTGTTTGTGGTATATGATGTTTATTCCTTCTGGGAAGTTGGTAGATGTATATAAGACAAGTTAATTCCTTTTTCATCCCTTTTCCTTTCCCTTCCTAGAACTACATTCATCTCCTGATCCCTTTCCTTTTTTTAATACATATTTTCTGCACACACTGTTTACATTCCTTCTGTGGAGCTGATGCACCTTTTATTCCTTTTGAAAACACAAGCTATATAGTTGCTTGAGAAATCACTGCACTTTCTCTCCTTGGCCCATCTCAGTTTGTGTGCATTATGAATAGCATCGGGTTGGTAGTTATTTGTGGCCATTTCCTGGTGAAGAAACCAATTATTACTAAGAATCTGGGAACTAGAGCACAAATCCAGGTGTGATGTTATTCAAAGCTCTTGCTTGTTACCAGTATTAGCTCTGACAGTCAGGTTGTCGCAAGACTGATGAATAACAGACAGCTGTAACATTAAAGCCTACTGCTACAGTTTCCTGGATGGCCATAAGTACCAGCACTCCAGAGAGAATAAAATAATATAATCTCTTCAATCACTTCTTAGAGCACAGGACAGGAGGCTGTTATTCATATTAGCTAAAGAATATTTTTCAAACTACAGTTCAGAGATTGTGACACGGTCCACAAATAGCTCCAGAAATCTCAGTAAGGAAGAATATTATGTTATAAACTTTTTTACTAGGAGATTTCAATTGTCACACCTTTCCAAAAGACTAGGGGGGCAGGGACATTTATCATTCAGGTCCACAAAAAAATAAATATTTCCAAATAGTATCAAAGGCTCATTCTCTAAACTGCAAGAGCAGAAGTTGATAAATGCCATTTTATCTACTATTAACTGTTTTTGTTCTATGTAACTTTTACTCCCATATTCAACATTATGCAATTATGAACAAAAATAGGAAACAAAGGTGCTTCCTAAGAGCATCATGGCTGAATACAGCAGGAAAGGAAATAATTCAGGCCTGGGCTCTCCCAGACTTCGAGGTAATGTACCTTGTGTTGTCTTTCACTGCACACAAAGTGAACCAGGGTGATGCGCAATGAACCAAGAGCTGCCATGGCAGAGGAAAAGGCTAATCAGAAATTAAAGAACAGATGACAGGTCAGCATCCTGCAGTCCGGCTCACGGAGGAGAGGACACTCTGCTTGGTCTCTGTTCCTTCAAACAGAGAGTTAGTGTGGATGGTAAAAAAACACTTATGAAAAACAAATCGCACCTACCTGGATAAGAGATAGATCCTCAAGCTGCAATCTGAAGAGGTAGTTTCTAGAAGACACAAAAAGAGAGTGGGCTTATTTTTATTAGATCCCAAACAATTACAGTTCATGAATATTATGAGCATCAGAGACAGAAGCAATGATTTTGGCGTGAGATGCATCCCTCTGTTGAGACCCTGCATAGCACAGCTCTGCACAGTCCTCAGAGAACAAACAGGCACTCAACATGTCAGCGACACGCATGAGAGGTGGCCACGAGTGCTCACAGACCAGCAGAGTATTCCTGCCTGGGAGTCGGAAGTTATTCTCGACTCCTTAGATTCGTTTGGATTAGAAAAGGGGCACGGACATTCAAACCATAAAGGACAGCAACTTAAGTCCTGCATGCAACTCTGCTTGCTAAGTCTTCATTCCCGCCTCACACCTACTGTGTTTTATACTTCAGGGTGTGAATGCAGCCTGTGATGCGAGGAAGCCACACTCTTATTATGCTGGGTGAACTCATTTTAGAGATGCAAACTTGACATCTGCCCAAGGAAGCTGACACCACTGAAAGTCTCAGTGAGCCGTGCAGTCCATCTGTGATACAGGAAATCGGATAAATAAAAACTATCATTTTTAACAAAGCATATGCAATTGAGATGAGTGTGATGTAGGCAAAGGAAAAACTAAAACACAGGATGCATTCATGGCCTATACATCTGTAGCTTTGGGAAATAACCCACTGGCCTCCATCGACATGTGATGCTTTGGTCTACAGATGAATCATGGCTGCCTCCTTAGCACCACACAGAAGGGAACAGAGACAGTGGAAAGAGAGGAAGAAGCCAGCCAGTCCAGGTGGAAATAGGAAAAACAAAATGGCATACAAGGGAAAGCAGAACCTACAATGCAAACAAACGCTGGTAGGGATCTCAGGGGGATTGTTATAAAGGGCTGATCTGAGGTTATGACTAAGACTAAGGAAAAATTTCCAACAGCAGTTGGAAACAAATGCTAGTTCCTTTTACTTGCACTATCTTGGGAGAGGGCTGAGATAAAAGATAAGAACTAGACCTGTGTCAGGTCAAGTGACAGCAAGCAGAGCCAAAGGACACGCTCGTGGTTGTGGACACAGACGGGGAGGAAAAGCACTTTGGACACTGATGTCTGGTATCCCACTCTGCTGGAGGTAAGTGGGGACCAGGGCTCCCCTCAGGAGTCCCAGGCACCCCCAGAAACCAGCTCCTCACACCTGGTTCCCCACCATGGAGTAACAGTGCCCTGCGCTGAATGAAAATCACCACCAAACCACTGCGATGTCCTCTTCACTACCCACTTTCCAATGTAACCTCTCCGATCCACCACTGGAGAGGCGCCTGGACTGCTCGGCATACCACCCCTACCACAGAGCGGTTTCCTGCAAGCATCCCCTGCCTTATTAAAGCTGAGTCAGGGCACACCATGGAAACCAACCTCAGATGCCTTTAGGGCAGAAGAGGCTATGGTTACTGAGTTGGGCACCATGAAGAGGTCAGGCTCCCCGCAGAAATGTCATGTGAAGGGAAGGAGTGCCGCCCAGCTGCCACCTGGGACTGCTGGTGCTGCATCCCTCACCTGCTGTGACATAGTCAGCAACCCCTTCCTTAAGGGAGGCTGGAAATCCACACACAGGGGCCAGTCTTTCAAACGAGGGGCTTATAAGAGGCCAATGTGTCCATCATACCCTTGTGCATGGTCAGTGTGCACCCAGGGTCCCTGCCTGCATGCCATTTCCTGCAGGGCTTTCTGCCCACAGAGGGCTGCCCCTCCACTAAGGGAGCCAGCACAGCCTAGGGGGTTAAGAATACTCATGCAGTGGCTGGATCTCCACTGCCCCACAACCTCAGCAAGGAAGTTACTGCACTCTCCCCCAGTTTTCTCAGCTTTAAAACCGAACCAATAATCATATCTATCTCCTACTGTGGTGAAATTTAAATCCAAAAGGAACATTCAGAATGGTGCTTCACCCATTGCAAATACTCAATTTACAGAAGCAACTTCCAGTTTGCATAGTAAAATTTCCAGACACATTGAAGTTCTCAGCATAGCCCTCACTGCCCAGAGAAAGGAAGTGTGGAAACGCCCTCCAGGGACTGGGGCTGCACACAGAGGCAGGATGGTCACTTCTGTGGGGCTGCCAGTGGTAGGGAGGGTAGTGGTGATAATGGGTTTTCTGAAAAGTAGACAGAATTGTTTTCCTTATCAGTTCTGAGAACAACCAGCCCACTGTTTTCCAACCCACTGGATAGACTACCAAAGACTTTTTTGTGTTAATATTTCCAATAAAAAGCAACTCATATCTTGGGTCAAAATGACTTGGAAGCTTTGGTGATACTCTAAGTTTCTTTCTCTCCCTTTCCATTTCCCCCTCCCTGTCACTCATGCTGCAGTATTTTTCTCTGGGGACCTTCTAGAAAAGTAGCCCCATGCACAGAGAATAACCTCGAAGGTCTCTTTGGTCTCTGAGAAGAGACAATGATATTATTCATGATGTTCTGTAGAGCTCTGGGCAGAACAACCAGAGTGAAAAGTTCAGTGCTCTCTCTCCTTACAGAAGGGCTCAGAAGAGGCACAAGGATCATTCTCTGCAAGCCCTGGTTCTAGTTCTTACGTGTTTTCTAAGGCAGAATAACTGAGTGTGGATGACAAACACACCCAACTCACAGTCCAACACTCCCCGAACAAACACAGCCAGGTTGCACTGTACATTCTCTGCCTCCCACGTTCTAATAGCCTGTAAATTACTCCTCCCCTTCAAAGACACTGCCAGCAGATTTCAACCATTTGCCCCTGGGTGCCTCCTTTCCTCTTCCCAATTATCAATAGTTGGTGATCCACATGGTAGAGGCATTCAGTAGGTGAGAAGAAGGAGCAGGGAGGAGGGCTGTGCCTTCCAGAGAAAATCCCTCCACAGTTCTGAGCTGCCACCTCCACCACCAGCCAGTTCCATGACCAACACCACAGGGCAGAGACACACAGGGAGGATGCACACTGTCCCTTTGGGTTACAAGATGCAAACTGGGGATTTTTTTTAACTTATTCTGAATTTGTTTGGTCTAAACAAGCATCAAAGACCTCAAGAATTCTAGGACTAAGCAGCAACAGAAGAATATACACCCTTCAATTTATAGGTGAAGAAACTTCAACAAATTAAGAAATGCAGCATGACTTGTCCAAAATTATAAGGATTCAGAAAAAGACACAGACACAGAAAGACTCTGTGGTATCTCCCATGGTATCTCCTGCACCCATCAATTAACCTCCCAAGTCCCCGTCCTAATTACTTGCATGAAATATGCACACACACACACACACACACACACACACACACACACACACACACAGACATGCAGACACAGGAATAGTTCTTATAGTACAAGTCTTTCTTATCACCCCTGTTCCTTCACAGGAGCATTTGTAGATCACTATAAGACTTGCAAATCTTAGTAATGCTAAGCATAAGCTGTAACTGTCAGGCCATCAATGCTTCCCTCTGAAAGTGCAATCAGGCTGTGACAGGCCTACTCATTGGCAGATCCTCCTGGTCTGCCTGATGAAATGGTGTGTACCTTGTTCCTCCCTATTTGCTTACATTCTTCCAGGAACTATCTGCCCATATTGTATTTCATTTTAAGAGTGAACCAGTTTCTTAATGTTCGAAATGAGAGAGCTAAGTTATAGAATCTGTCAGGGCATTTGAATAGCACACATTCCCTTTATAAAAACATCCACTTTTAGATTTAAACAGTGTCCAGTGCAGTTGGATGAGCATCTCATCATGACTTGGTTCCAGCCTATGGTAGGAACAGAAGCTGGTCGATCCTTGAAAAGGAAGAGCTCTAGTCAGGGCAGTTAGGGCACTGGGGACAGGCCCTTGAAGGGGATATCGACACCCTGATATCTCCGTGTCTCTCCCTTTGCTTTCCACGCAACCCAGGGTTAACAGGCCTCCTCAGCCACATGAAACATTATGATGAACTGCGCCACCAGATTTCAAAGTAACTGGGCTAAGCAACCATGGACTAAACCCTCAGAAACCAGGAATCAAACTAAAACCATCCCCTTTAAGATGATTATCTCAGATACTTTGTTCCAGTAAAACAAAGGTGACTAACACAGCTCTCTAATAAAAACCTATTCATCACAACAAATTTTGCTAATTTCCTAACAAGGCCTTGATTTTCCACCTACCATTTGAAATAATCTCAAATGATACCTCATCTCATAAAATACTTTTTAAAATGCTTTATTAGTACACATTTATTTAATAAGTACTTATGATAATATTTGTTAACAAATACTTGGAAATCTTACTTGAAAGTGTTGAAAGAAGAGTTATCAGAGCTATCATATCTACAGTTGTACACAGGCTCAATATCTACTTAAAGTCTATTTTCAGGTCACTTTGTGAGTCACATACTTGTAGCATTTTTTAAGTCACGGGGTTGATAGCTGCTTTTACATATCTGTTAATGAACAATGACAGCATACACAAAACTAAATCAGTCCATGGACTGCTTGGACCTTTCCATATTAGAAATATATTACACACAGTAATATTCACCTTATTTGTTATAATTTCCAACTACCTACATGATATCTTTTGAGTAATAAATAAAACATTCATAGAATTCGCTAATTGCCTCTATGGAGTCTAAAAATCTAGAAAAATATAGTGTGGATTCCACTAATCTCAAAATCCTTTCCTCAAGCCATTTGGCTCCAAGTACAGTTCCAAGACCATTTTTGCCCTAAGAAAAATTCAAATGCAACTAGTAACATGAGAGACCTGAAATCTCTCAAGACAGCTTGATCCATCACTGTTTAGGTCAATGAACTATGAAGTGAAAGGTTACAAAAAGAAAGGAAATCTGCTAAATGGAATAAAAAATTGATACTCCTAGGTGCTGGGCCACTCAAACAGCAAAGTGAGATCTACGTCCCCTCCAGATGGTTGTTCTCCAGGGCATGCAGGACAGGCAACCACTTTATCTTGTGATTGTGAGAGTGCAGAGGAGAGAAAACAAT